TATATATACACACACACACACCATATATATGTATACAGATAGTAATGAATAAAGCGCATTTTTAGCTCCATCAGTTTATTTTTTTAGGTGTGGTGTGAGCATTAACTGGAACTCAGGGTGCATTCACACCAGCCCTGTTTAGTCCGCTTTAATTGAACTCTAGCTTGTTTTCCTAGAAAGTCCGGTTCGTTTAGGGAGGTGTGAACGCGCCATCGAACTCTGTCACTGAACAAAAAGGCGAACTCTGGCCCGGGCTAAAACCTAGGTCTCGGTCCGGTAGAAGCGAACTCCAGTGCGGTTCGAGTGCAGTGTGAATGCAAACAGACCAGACCCCGCTCCGCAGGGTAAACAAACACGCATTTCTCTTACCTTATATGGAGCTGTCAGCTGCCTTGTGTGGAAAAACAATATTCTCCATGGTCTTCTGTCTCATCTTCTGATCGTGCTAAGTCCATTTTTGAAAAATGACAAAATATAACTCCAAAAACTGCTAAAACTTGATGCCACTTCGTTTTTATTTTTATTTACTGAAGAAGAAGAAGACATGTCTTCAGAGGTTTTTGTGTCGTTTCTTTCAGTAGTTCTTGGTGCAGCGCCCCCACAGGCGAGCGGGGTAATAGGTTGGTTCAACAAGTTGGCTCGACTGCACAGTGCAGTGTGAATGCAAACGCACCAGCTCAAATGTAAACAAAAGGTCATGAATATTGGTCCAGAACCAAGTCTACCGGACTATCTAGTGTGAAAACGACCTAAGGTTTGCATTTTTAAAAGAACGCATGCACCCTATTCTCCTACAGAGTGGTTCTGTGTATTTGGTTTCAGCACAAAGTTATGAAGGCGTGTACGTTTAGGTCATTGGCATAGTCAGGCTGCAGTCAGGTGGTTTGAGTTACTGAAGTGCCATTTTTAGGTAACTTTAAACAGAATTCAGACACTTCTCATGGAACATGTTTTGTTTGATGGGGGACCAAAGACTTACAAAGCTCTTGCACATCTGGGATAAGCATGGAATGGTGAATGAATGTTGTAGCTTCTGATGTCTTAAATACACGGTACCTTCAGATCCTGGACTAACTGAATAAAACGAAAATGTCTTCTCAAACAACATGCTGAGAACATGTTGCAGCTGCTTGGTGGGGGGTTTGGGGACTTGATCTGATGAGCCTTAAAGACAATATTTTGTTTGTCATTGTCTAGTTTATTTTCATGATGCACAAACTCTTCAGATATTTCTCATTTACTTATTTCAGTTTTCTTCCATGTTGATTTTAATAATGAAGTTGTTTTAGGTTTTTTTTTCTAATGATCAGGCCACTTTTTTCAGGTTACAAAATAAATGTGCATTTATCCAGGACTCCAATACAAGCTGATGTGTTGAGCGTAATGGACAGAATACGATATAATTCATATATAATTAAATCCAGATGTATAATTTGTATGTTGCTTGCAGGTTTTGGCCCTTTTCCCTTATCTACAGCCTCTACTTTCTCAGTTGGAGGTGCTAAATTAAGGCCCTGTGTACTTGAATGTGAAAATTCATCTGAAACTGGAGGAGTCTAAAGTCAGATAATAAATAAAAGTGTTTAGGAAGTGATGTTCTGGTTTGCATAATGTTTCAAACTCATGTCAGCTCATGCTCATATCAGTGAGACACTTCACTGAAGGCGAATGAAGTTAAAAACCTACAGCAGAAGAGTGGATGGCAACTCTGTTAAGTTCTATTTTATATGGCATCATTTTACAGCAAAAGTCATTTTAGGACTCAACAAGAACATTCACTATAAAATGCCAATTTATAAAAGTTATTTTGAAGGAAGACAGCAGATTGTGTTGAATCTTCACTTTGTGACAATCTCCCATCCTGAGCAGCACACTGGTGGCAGTGGAAAGGAATGACTTCCTTTTAACCGGAAGAAACCAGAACTGGGTTCAGAATGGGCAGCCATCTCGCTTAACTGGTTTTGAATAAAAGTAAATGGACTGTACTTATATAGCACCGTTCTATCTTATCAAGCTCTTTACAACACAATCGGTGCCCTCTTATCCATTCATATAGCACTCTACTACAAAGAATAATCAGGGTTTTAGATCACATTCATACACTGATGGGACACACATCGGAGGCAATGAGGGGTTCAGTGTCTTGCCCAGGGACACTTCAGCATGTGACTGCTGATGGAATTGAACCCCCAACCCTTGCATTGGAGGACGACTGCTCTAACCACTCAGCCACATGCACACCAGAAAAGCAAGAAAGCAATAAAAAAACAAAATAATAGTATAGCTTAGAGGTAGTAATGGTATGAACTTTTTCTGCATCGTTTTAGAACAAGATGTTTCTAATTTTTGTGATTTTGCAGGTAGGAGTAATGCTAGTCCCATTTTTAATGTGGCGTTTAAATCACATTTCCTGATTAAAAATAAAGCCAAAGTTCTTTACATTATTATTGGAGGCTAAATTAAAACCATCCAGAGGAAGTAAAGGCTGCTGCTCACATGTACCAACCCCCTCCCCCCCAACTTCTGTCTTGAGCATGAACTTTGTTGAGCAGAGAGTCTTCCAAGTTTGTATATCCTTAAGACAAGCTTTCAGTATAAGTAATCTGCACCTTTGTGAGGTTTACTGGATGAATATACTGTATCCAAGTATCATGGAATACCTACTGGAAACATAAAGTAAAAAGTATTTGTCCAAGCACCGAACCCTGAGGAACTCGATGACTAACTTTGGTGTAATAAAAGTTTAATTACTAGCATGCACAAACCCTAATCTATCAGATAAATATGACTATTTTTTTAAGCTTTCCTTTAATTTCAATATAACGTTTATTATAGAATATTGTATCAACTGCAGCACTGAGGTCCAGGACCAGTGGAGACACAAGTCCTTTGTCTGAGGCCATGAAAATATCATTAGTGACTTTTACCAGCTAAACCAGTATTTCACTGGCCTGTTACTAGCTAGCAAACGGCATTTGTGAGGGAATCCCCAAAATGTTTGCAGATGTTCTCAGTTCGCCCTGGTGCTTGAGGTTTGAACATATTCAAAAAGTTAATAGTTTCCATCAGAATAGTTGTTGGGGGCATCCTGGACCTGTCTCGCTAGTGATGGGTGCATTTTGACACCTGCAGTGAGCTCTGACAAGTCAGGACAAGGTCTAAAACTGTTTGATATTGTCCTCTTTTGGATGCCAGAGGACATGGGACGTCCAAATACAAAGATGAATTAAAGGCCTAGCATTACTTGAATGAATCTTTATCACCCACCACCTTTCTTAACACTTTTAGACCAAGATTATTTTATGATGAGAGATGGCAAAGTTGTAGATGTTTGGTCAAACAATTAAAAAAATACTGACTTCATGTGATCTCAAGCTTTAGCTCAACAGCCATAAACTTGGTGATGTTCTGATCATTTTGGCTACTGGTGACAAAAATATGAATGACTGATGGCCACAATCCAAAACTTTTAGCTCAATATCTGGTTTTGACAGAATTATATTCATGTTTGTGTTTTCAAAAGTCACTTAGCTGCTGTGGCCATCTTGATTGGCTTGGCTCCATTGTAGATCCAGTGGTGATTTCCTGAATGTTTAATTAAAAACAAACAATCTGTGTTTACTGAGATACTTAGCAGACACAGAGTTTACTCAAACAGTTTATGACAGATTTTTGGCAAAAACATTGTGCAACCTGTTAGCATCAGAAGGATGTGTTGGAGGTCAGTGCCAGCTGTATCCATACCTAATTTAAGAGCGTTTTATGTAACGATGACAGAATTCATTTTTGTGTTTTTAAGGTCAGTTAGCTGTAGCAGCCTATTTGAACTGGGTTGACCTCCAAAGAGAATCGGTTGTAGATAATTACATTTTGCAAGTTTTATCTGTTCAGTGGTTTAAAATATATTTTCCTATCATTGAAAGCAAACACCTTCAGACATGAGCTAAAACATTATTAAATTGGGCAGCAGGCGATAACTACTTACTAAAAACAACAACAAAAAAAAGTCCATGCTCCAGGTATACAATCTCTCCCGGTCCGTATAAATTACGGTGAGACCGGAAATCGGCTCCCAAATAGCTTTTTTCTTCAGCCATTTAGGAACCAGTGAGGCCCCACGCTTAAAGGGCTACACCTATACTCATAGAATCTGGGGTTACAGTACGTAACCAACGTTCTATTTAGTATAGGCTTCACCCTTTAAGACTGTTGCTAGTGGGTTAAAGGCGAAGCAGGATGTAGTCTATGCTAATGCTAATGAATCACTGCAGGAGCTACATGATATCATCAGCTCGCTGCAGAGCAAACACCCCGAGACTCTTTACGTTGAGCCGGAGACTTTAACCACGTGAATCTAAAGGACTGTCTCCCAAGCTTTTATCAACATGTGGCGATTCCAACACGTGGAGACCACACGCTGGACAGTGTTTACACGAACGTAAAAGGTGCATACAAAGCCGAACCCTGCCCCCTCCTAGGAC